CACACACACACACACAAACACAAACACACAAAAAGTCAGGCAGAGCTAAGTCGAAATTTCAACTCATTATCTCAAAATCTCTGGTTATTATTTCAAAATGTTGACATACTTAGTATCTCGAAATTTCCAGTTATTTCATTTAACTATAGCGATACGTAACAGCGTAGTTTTGACTTACAGATGGCAAAAACAAATTTCCTTTAGTGGCTGCATCTTATGGATATTATGGAAACTTGTTTCAGGCACTGAAAAAAAAAAATAGAAAAATGTCTTCTATACGTCCAAATTTCAGTTTAGTATCATTAACTAAGATACTAAACTTGAAATTTCGACTATGGTATCTAAAAATTCAGACTTTCTCAGAAATGACTTAAAAAGAAGTCAAAAAATTTGAGATACACGATTGTAACAAATAAGTCGACATTTGACTCTGTCCCCCCTTAGTGGCAGAAACAAAGCTTCCACATAAACCTCAGTATAACCTCACTTCTAGATTTTCAGTTGAAACAAATATTTTAAAAGCAAACAAAGATGTATATAGATTTTTTATCCATTTGTGTATTTTGTTCCCATAATTGTTGTGGTATTGATGGAAGAACTGCAATTTTAAAAATGTGTAGCTGAGAAAATGAAGGTCATAATTTTAAACAAACATGTACCAAGTACTTCTTTGTACAAAATACAGATGTCATGACGTCTGACTTCTCATGAGTCAGAAATGGTGTGATTAGTGTCTCAGCTGGTGTGATCCCATCTCAGCATGGGTTCTAGTACCTACTTGCAAATGGCAAACCGCTAATTCAAATAGATTTGGTTAGTAGAATATTGAGTCATTAAATATTTGTTGCTGGTGGAAAAATTTTCATTAACAGAGCAGTGCTTCTGAATAATGGTCTGACTTGCTAACGCAGAGAAACAAATTTGGATTTTGCCACTTGTGTGCAATATTTCACACTGATTTATAGAACTGCCCAAAGATTATCCATCATGTTGCTCCCTGAAGTTTAAATACAGAAAGAAAGAAAAAACCAATCATATCAAGCATTGTTTTCTCTTTTTGTGCTTAGCGCGATCACAGTCAATCATTTACTGTTACGCATAATTAATCAAGGAAAAGCTGGTCGTTTGGGAGATGCTCCTGACAACTCGTGTCAACAAACAAGTAAGTCAGCAGGCAAAGTGAGCTCATGCAGAGGCTATCCCAGGAGTGTTATCCGTGATACACTCACCCAACAGAGTCCTGTGTGCAGAGGCTGTCATGGATACACGCGCTAAAGGGCTGTATGCTGAAAAAGGTGTTATCAAAGCTGCGTGATACTACATGAGATGAGATGAGCATCCTCAGTGCACAGGAGAGGGTTTCTGCATCAAGGTAAGAGAAAGTGTCAAATAGTGCATCTGCAGAAGTCGGTTTAAATTTCACCATGCACATCTGTTCTTATCTCTCATGATACAGTTGATGAAATGGCATACATGCATTTAGATACGGAGACTGGTGTGAAAAACACATGAAAAACAACGACCACCGAATTATCCAAATTTCATAAACACGCTGTAACAACCCCAAAGTGTTAAAACCAGATGACGATCATGAAGTAAGCAATTCAAATATCAAGACACATGATCTATGAATAGCCACAACACGTCGAGCTGTCATCTTTGTGTGAAAATCTGTCTTTGACACGTGGGCAGACGTGTGGAGTGTAACATCTCCCAGACAGAGAGGAGCATTAACTTGGATAGGAAGACGCTACAGGATGTTTAGGGGTTCAAGTCCATTTTCTCCCGCAGACCTGGATATGTGGGACACCAAATCTCGCTTTACAGGCCAGGCAAGATATCCTTTTATATTTCTGAACTTGAATAATCAGAAGGTAATTATTTAAAAGAAAATGCTTCCCCCACCTCTTTTTAGACATCAGCATGGTGTGGTATGGCATCTGTATCAGGATCAGGATTTCTGTCCAAAGTCAGCACAAGGTTGGGGGAATATTATATAGAGATATGAGTTTTCAGTGAGTTTGGTATATGGCTAATTTATGTGTTTCTGAACATTGAGCAGTGCTGGTGGCTCCAGGCAAAATGACCCAGGTCTAAGGAGGTGGCAATCATTGTCCCATCTGGGGCCTGAGAGTCCCACACGATCATTAGGGGCTGAGTTAAGGGCTGCCCGGGATGGAAGTAGCTTCAGACAAACAGAAGTAGTGCACAGGCTGCAGGAGGCTCACCAGCGACTTGAGTCTAAACTGGACTGGCTGAAGACCAGAGACATGCTGAGCTACAACACAGCTATTGCACAGCTGCCTGGCAGGGCAAGTTGATTGAAATGTCTAAGACCAAATACATAATATGCCTTATTTGTTTTAAGTGTGTTGAATTTTTCATTCTCCTTAGCTGTTTTGGATTGATTGCTGCTCTGGATAAGTATTTGGTCTGTCTTGCACACAGCATCCTCTCACCATGTAATAATGTGTCCCATAGCAGCTACCACAAATGATGAAGGGCCTCGAGGATGAGAAGAAGGCTGCTGTACCAGCTGAAAATGAAAAAAGCAGACAGTGCAGAGAACTCTGTGAAAAGTAAGTCCTGGAAAAAAAAATTTAAGAATTGAAGAAAAAATTCTCACATGATATTTGCTTACAAGGGTCTTAAATCTGGAAAAGGATTTGTTACAAATGAGGTCTGCTCTGGACAGAGGAAGCATCGATCAATCAACTGAGAGAGCTCCGTGCTCGCTCAACAGAACATTACCAGTGAGTCAAGTAGGCTTTAACAGACATATGTTTAAGCCATTGGATTATTATAAAAGATTCACGCTAAACAAGGTGTGACTCCTTGTTCCCCTTTGCTAAATGACACTTTTTCTAACAAATGGTTTTAATCCAGGAGAAGCAGAAAGGTGACACAGAGATGCTGGAGTTGAGAGAGGCTCTGAAAGAGGCTGAGACTAAGGCAAAGACACTAGAAGAAGAGCGTAACAAGGCACTCCAACAGCTTCGAGCGTCTATTGAGGTGAATTTAAAAATATTACAATTTAACACAATGCTACAATCAAATGTCATATATTGTATTGCTCCGTTTTGTTTCACCAAATGATATCTGACTGTGTGGAACTTTTGGGGGGTTTTCTTGGGGTTTGATTCCAAGAAATTGGCAAGGGATCCTTTGGGTCTTGTGGATTGTGGGGTCCATCCTCTGTTGGATGGGCTTGTTTCAGTGGGTACTGGGGAAGATTGGAAGCCAGGCACGGTGTGGTCTGTGGCTCAACTGCAGGGGATGGTTGGAGCAATGGGTTCAGGGTGTGGTATCAGGGGAGGCTGACCAAAATTCTGCCTCCCCTGATTGAGCAGGATGCTGGAACAGAGTAAGCTGTGCTGCACTGCAACAAGGTATCTGGAATGCTGCACAATCAGAAAAAGTTCGCTTGTCTGGCTACACTGTGTGCATTGGGCCATTTTCTATTACATCAAGTGAACATGAACTTGTTCTGACTTGTTTTTGTGGTGTGGCACTCACACTGTCCTGTCGGAGGAGTTCGCTGCTGATGGGGAGTTCTGTAAAGGAGGCTCTTTGTGTGCACCGTCATATTTAGATGAGTGTTTTGTGTGAAAATACCTTCCCTAAGAATCATCAGCGGTTGATGGTTTCGTGTTATCGCAGATAGTTTTGCATAAGTGACATCAAAGTGTGTCGTGTATCATGCATCAGCGGTGTTGCTATTTTTATCTCTTCAGTGTGCGCTCTGTTTCTGTGCACACCCAGATGCAGAGGACGCTGTTGAGTCAAATAGAAGAGACGGACAAGAAGCTCAGTCACACTGCACAGGATCATTCTGAACTGCAGAAAGAGCTGAGCGAAGCCAACAACAAGATCAGCCAAGCATGCCTGGTCAGTTTGCCAGAATTCAGTATTTCATTGCACATCCACACTCATAAGCCTGATAAAACTGACAATAAACAAAATTTCTTTTGACCAGTTAACATTGTATAGTTTGTGCTCCGGAGAAAAGAGATGTGATCCATTTTAAATGACAAATGTTTCATGATGTTACCAAATTGTTGTTTTTTTAAAACTTCCTTCAATGCGCAATCAAAGTCCCATAAGTCCAGTTTTTACAACACACATGATCAAAATTAATTTAAAACATTATCTTCCTAATTTTGTTCAGGAAAAGGCCATCTTATCAACTCAAGTGTTGAAGTTGGAGGACAATATAAAAGAAATAAAGTCCAAACTGACTGAGGCGTTACAGGAGAAGACAAATCTTCTCCACAGGGTTCAAGTCCTGGAGATGCAGACTCACAACAAACAGCAGCAGAAAGATGTTGTGGTGAAGGAAGACTCACAGGCTCTCAGAGAGGTTGTAAAAGCTTTTGAGGAGCTATTCTTTTAATAAGTTTTAGTTGGGAGGAGGGTTCTTAATTGAAGTATTGCCTTCCTGTAATTGCACCAGGAAAATGAAAAAATAAGAGGAGAGCTTGAAATGATCAAGAAGAGGCTGGAGATATCACACCACGAGCTACAGGAGCTGACAGATGAGAAAATCATAAACACCAAACAGGTCACCGATCTGGAGGTGCGGTGCTCTCAGCTGATCAGAGAAAAAGAGGAACTGCAGAGTGAAATTAAAGGCAGACTAGAAGAAATGCAGGAAAAGTGCTGTGAGCACAGGTGAGATGGAGATCAGACATATTATTTAATATGAGAAGATGTTTCTTTATTTGTTATTGACTATGCAGTGCAGTACAATTCTCTTTACATAAACGTCAAACTATTTCTTCAGGGAATCTGTGGAAGTCTTGGAATTAGAAAACCAGAAACTGAGGAATCAGTGTCTGCGTTTGGAGGATGAGGTGTTTGAGAAGGAGAAGCGGGAGGAAGAGTATCGCAAACAAGATGTGGTAAAGGTCCAGACCATCGAGGAACTGAAGGCTGTGGCCTCACATTGGACAGAGAAATGGCAAAAGGTGGCTTTGACCCTGCAGTCTACACAAGAGGAGTTAGAGGAGTTAAAGAAGAACTCAAGAAATAAAGTAAGAACATCCTTTTACCATGCTCTTAAAGACATCAAGTATATCTCATATACTGCTTCTCACAAATAATAATTTTCAGACACTACTACTGTACTAAAGTCTTTTCCCAGTGTATGAGACCTTGATATTTTCCATAGGTACTTGGATAAGTTCCTGGACCATGACTAACTTCCAGGCTAATATGTCATGTCTCACAATCACACATGTCTGGAATAAGTGCAAAGAAAGTTTTCCTCTTTGGCAGATGACTGTAAACACCGCCTTCTGATGTCAGAACACTTAATTCTGTGCAGTGGAAGATCCAAGTGAAGTATAAGTAAACAAAATTATTTTGTTTACTTATACTTCACACTGTTTTTGTGAAGAGAGATCATTTTTAATAAGTGCATTTATCCAAGTGTTTAAAATAAAATACTGCTGAGGCTAAAAAAAGGAATTGCCATGTATAACAAACATCAAACATTTTGATAATATTTTTCCAGTTAGAGAAAAAAGATCTAAATCCGAAGCAGCACAAAGAGGGCAGTGTGCCTCTGAATAGAAACCTGTAGCTGTAGATGATATAACTGAACACCTGTAACATTCAGGGAGGATGTGACTCGCTGCTCAGGGATGAGCTTGAAAAGCCGGAGCTGGAAAGGAGCAGGAGCCAGGCATGTCTTCACAGAGATAAGGACAAAGGTAAAGGTGAGCTCACTTCTGAGTAATCTGTGTCAAGTGAAAATATTCCAGACGAAGAATACAGATCAGGTATTTTGCAGTTATCCAGTATTAGAGAATTCTCTGACACAAGGGGGCGTTGTATTTGCAGGTGAAGGGCGCCAGATTCCAGACAAAGGGACAGAGACATGGTAAGTAGATTTTGATGAGATATCCATTTTCAAAACACAATGTCAGGAAAGTGCGTGAAATGAAATTTTGTGAGCTTCATCATAACTGTTTTTTTCCCAGCTTATCAGAATCCTCTTTGTTATGGGACTCTGAGAGCCACCCAAACAAATCCCTTCAGGTAACAAAATATTCCTGCCTCACTTATGTGCATTTTCGACACCCTAATGGAAGGTGAGGGGAACTGTGACGAGAAGATGATGTTGTCTTTTGTAATTTACGTACAGGTCAGCATCCAAAGCAGTGAGGTTCAAAGACTGAAGCAAAAACTTGCAGACAAAGAGAATGAACTGAGTGAAAAGTAGGCATTCTTCCTTCTTAAACTTATGTGTGACATATTGTTGTAGACTCTGAAAATGACTGTGTAACAGATGACTATGTGCACTGTCTTAGAGAACATGCTTTAAAGACTCTAGAAAGGCTGAGAGAGATGGAAAAAAATGAGGCTAAAATCAAGATTTCTGCCCTGGAGCTCAAGGTAGTGTCACTACAACCTGATCATACTATAAATCAACACATTTAACCACTCATAACCCGAAGACTATGTTCTTATCTCCTCCCCTTAGCTCATGAAAAAGGTTCCTGAAGATGGCCAAGATCAGGGAAGCCTTCTAACAGACATCTTCATTTGTGACTCAGAGGGTATGAGCCAGCCTGCCAGGATTCAATGCACTGATTTACCTTGCTGAGTTCTGAAACGACTTCCTGATGTTTTTAGAGATTCCAGGGAAGGTGAACCAAATCCTCCCAAGCTCGAAGCTTCAAACCCAGAGGCAGTTTTATGAGGTCAAGTCCATAAATGGAATGTATTAAAAGTCACCTGTCTTTGTAAATGTAACAAATGAGGCAAATCTTGCCTACAGGTTGAAGATGGGAAACCTTCTGTCCAAGGCCAAAGGGGCAAAACGGTCTGTCCGCTTAATGTAGACACAGAGCAGCAAAGGAGACTGGTCACTGAGCAGGTAGTGTATGATCCTAGTCCTGATCCAAGTTAGCACTATGGCTCCAGAGTGGCATTGTTAATGAGTCTAGTTATTAACTTTTCACTGAAATACAATCTAATTGATATTAATTGGTAGGGGAGCCGTAGGATTTTGCACAGAATTTCAGGATAAAGCCTGCAACAAGTTTGGACTTGTGGTTGTCAGTGAAACATCCCAATAAATTTTGAATCAGATGCTAATATGATTAACATGTCAAGTACTTAATTTAATAAACAACAACAGTATTCCCTGCAGCTTCAGCTACATACAAAGTTTGTACATTCTAACTAGTGTTAGCATGTTAGCATGTTGATAGCGCTAGTCCCAGCATTCAGGGAGTTGCTAGTGTGGCCAGTTTTGTTTTACACCTGCGGTAGTTTACAACAAGCCTGAGTAACTGCTATTTTTCTATTACATCTGTAGTTAAAGAGTTTATTTAAAGAACGAGAGGGAAAGGAGGCCCAGCAGGGTGACAGCAATGGAGCCTCTTCACCTCAAGACTGGACACCCACAGTTAAACATGTTAGGGTAAGAATCCTCAGCCATTTAAAGCTGAAAAACACAATGATCCTGGCCAAAAAGTGTTTGTGACTTTCTCTCAGGCTGCAGTGGACAGGAGAAACTGGCAACAAGCCTCGGGTTTGATGCCAGTGTTTGAGGAGGATGAAGAGGAGATTAACGGCTGTCCAGCAGAGGAGGAGGAGGAGGGAGAGGCAGGAGAGGAGACCCATGATGAAAACCTCCTTGATCAGAAACAGCAGGTTATTAAACTTAATGTTCAACTGCAGAAAGCATTACCAAGTTCAAAAAATTATAAAATCCAACTAAAAGAATAAAAAGAACATACAGTATATATATTGTAGGGATATATATCATCGGCAACTGATTCGACTTAATATCATTAGTGGCATTATCGTGACACGCAGATTATACTGTGAAATTCTGAACCGCCCTCACTTTCATTACATATATACACGCATATGTGCAGAGAGCACTAATCCCAGCTTCTACTTTAATCAAAGAGCAGGGCTGTCGTTCTGACTGCATAGCTGCTTAAATGGTACGTGGAAAAAAACATTTCCGCCATAATCTCAAATATGACTCCTTGTACTTGGTAAATAATCGGATATAAAGCAAAGGAGCTAACCATTCAGTAGAAACACAGTGAAGTCAACCATGAAAGGATAGGAATGAGTTACAGTGTGTTTCCATGTGAAGATCTTTGACCAACTTTTCTGAACATTTTTTAGAAAAAGGATTAAAATCATAAAATAGCGCATTAATATGGCCAATGCACACCTGCAAAAGGAAACATGAAGTCAGAGGTTTGAAACTGTTCCTCTCCTCATCAGATCTCAGCTATGACTGCAGAAATCAACAATCTGAAGGCAAAAAATGACAGTCTGCTGCAAGGTGAAGCTGTGCTAGGATCAGTGTAATGTGTAGGGTAGAAATGTGTCTGCATGGCTGTGTTGTGTTTCAAGTCTTAGGATGTACTCATCCCAAACAGGGACATGTCCACAAATTTCCATGAATAATTACATGGAAATTTTTTTTTTAAACAGGCACAAAAATAGTCATTGGTGGAGAAGTCTCTAGTTTAAATGAATTCACCTTCTGACTCTATGTTTGAGTTCTGTATTCTGTATTTCTAGTCTGTTTGTTGGATTTGAAGTTTGGAAATTAAAATTTTCTCCGTCTTTTCTTTTTGTCAAGCCTTAAGGTCAAAGAGGTCAATCTGGGACCGTAGGCCCCCCAAAAAGCTCTCAGATAAGTCTTCTCAGTGTTCAGATGAATATGGCCCAGAGTGGACGAGGACACTTCCCCTTTATCCTGATGGAGTATTCCTGGCTGAGCTTGTACACATCTGTAGCCCTGATGAAGAGGAGGGAGCAGTTAAATGACGTATTTGTGAAGACTCCAACCAGCTTTATTCCTGTTGCTTCACAGAAAATGATTGTTCCATTCAAATATTTTATTGTATCGTTGTTACAGAAAATCATTAAGCGGAACCATAGCAGCAATAATTTTAGCATTTTTAGCTGATAAAATCACTCCAGTATTCTTTAGGCAAATCTGTGTGTCTTTTTATTTATATGACATGAGATGACTCATCACCATCATTATTATTATTTTTACATCCAGAAAGATACTTTAAAGAAATATTTAAAGAACTGTGAAATGACGGTGAATATGTACTCACACATCATGCCAGATGGCAGAAAGATTTTTAGTGACAAGGACCAAATACATCTGTATTGTAAAGACTATAGTGTTCAGTTAAAATGTTTTGGGTATAGAAACCAAATGGATACAAGACTGCACAATTAAAAGGTTTATTCTGGGCTTTGCTTTACAGAAACGTACTCTAAAAGCAACTTTCTACATTTTGCATAGAAGAATGTAGTGACTGATATGCTGAAATAAGGCCACATTGAAAGAACTGATTTCTCAGAGTTTCACTGAACACAGGCATTTCATATACCTAAACAACAATTCAGTCAGACAACTCCAGGATACAGAGTTTGGCTGCAAGCTCATCACTCCTTTCAAACATCTGTCAGAGCTGATGAGTTAATAACACCTCCTTAAGTCTCCATTTTGACAGTGAGGTGGTGGAGGACCTGAAACAGCAGCAGTGCTGGGGGCAGCTCCACTGGGATGCCATAGATGGAAATTTTTGAGGTCCAAGTAAGCTGCCAGATTGGGAGGGTGTGTATCATCTTGAGTGTAGACAGCACCTTGAGGTGAACTAGATCACAAGTTGACTCTATCCATACGCGCTTCATGTCTGACCATTTTTGTTGCCCAAAGAGCTCAACAGTAAATCCGCTCCATTGGTCATCAAACAGCCTTATTCTATTGCGGTTTCAGGTTGAATAGTGTGCCATCGTGCCTGCTCCACATAGTGTGCCATCGTGCCTGCTCCACATGCTGGCTGCACATGTCTCTCCAATGAGCACGTCCTGCATCAGCAGCCTCTGCTCCAACGAAGACTCGGCCAACAACTCTGGCTTCTGAAAGGACTGCATTCTGCCACATTAGACAAGAGAGGGGACGCTGAATTGTGTTGCATTTATTATACAGGAAAAATAAAACTATTGCCATGGTATATGATGATTAATGACCTGGTTTATTACAAATTCAAGCACGAGGGGCAGCTGACTGATGTCTCCTGGAGGCAGGTCAAACAGGAAAGAAGTGTTCCACACAATACAGGACCCTGCTTTAGTCTCTCTGCTACTCATCAAAACTCCCTCATGGTGCAGATTGATCACCTGGTAGTCTATATGCATATACACAAACACAATGTGTCTAACTTTCATTAAGTACTAGCAGATTTTTAGACGATTTAGATCTTAAATAAAGCATAGAGTGAAAGTGTTCAAAAAGAGTGAAATACATTTTTTAATTTAGATTTTTAGCTGGAATTTACACTGCACTTGCACCACATCTAACTTTGCATATACAGTATATAAGTTCATTCACTATACTGCCTCTTATTATTCACGAACAAGTACTTTCAGGTTCTGAGATACAATAAAGAGATTATCTGAGTCATGCTTATGCGACATATTGTGCAGGAAACTGATATCATGAAATCACTTGGATCTTTATACAGGATGAGTTTGCATGCAATAGAAAAATAAAAAAAATAATGCCTTGACAGACTAATGCATACAAAGATTAGACCTGACAGATAAGAGTACCAGTGGAGATTGGAATGTTTCCTGAGGATTGTGAATAGCGAAGGATTAAACCACAATGTCATTAAAAAAGGGATGATCTCCTGATGCACTCTGGTCCTGTAAGACATCATTTAATCCCTTAAACATTAAAAGCAAACATAGGGAATTACTTTACCTCTACCCTGAAAGAAAAAAGTTAGTTCTACCCATATGTGTGTATATATATATATACACACACACACATATATATATGTATATATATATATATATATATATATATATACATCTGTCTATTATGCCCTTATAGCATTCTGAAATCACATACGCATTTTGTCGAGTTTAAGTGACACCAAACTCTGGTTTTACCTGCTGATGTAGAAACAAGGCTGTCTAGATTATCAGCTCTGAGGACCGTGACTTTAACAGAGTGCGACAGTCTGATAATGAAGCTAAATGAAGATCTGTGGAGGACAGCTAAGCCCCTTACACATCAGTGCATCCTGAGAGGTCAGACTCTGCAGTCAAAGGGCAAAAGTTCAAAGAGCAAAGAGGGCATTCCTAATTGGCAGGAATTGCAACTTGAACATTTAGCTCTGTCATACACAGCAATGAATAAATAAAACTACAGAAAAATATCTGGAAATTTGTTTACATTTTCTTCCATCTTTGTTATTTTTCCAGGATTTAAGTTGAGAGGTCTAAAATTGTGGCCAAAGGGGGTATAAATTTGTACCCGAAAGGTTCCTAATCAATCATTCAAGTTGCTTTTACCTCCAAGTACGGACATTTAAACCACTCACAGGTGTATAACCTTCACTACCTTTTTTATTTTCTACTTGCTTCGATTGAGTTCTTTTGTTAAGTGAAGTGGCGTCTGTGGTGTCCAGTCTCTTCCTGCACACTCAGCTTCCAGTTCACCCAGAGAACTGCGTCTGGGGCTTGCTGGTTCTCGTGCATTCACAGCTACCTTCAGTACACACCTTTGGAGCTCCTCCACAGAGCTCACCTTAAAAATTAGCACCAGGCTGTGGGCTTCAGAGCTGGAGCTGCTCTGCACAGCGGCTTGCATAGGAAAGGGGCAGAGAGGTGGTAGGCTCCCCTGCACAGACACATCTTCCAGCCTGTGAGGCGTCCCACTGAGGCTGAGGACAGTGACTGTCAGGGTTTGCTGCTCTGGAGAGAAGGCCATAGTGAAGTGGAGGCAGGGTTTTGGTGATATTGGATGTTGGCAGCTTGCACTGGAGCCATAGCTTAGTGGGGCCAATGGGATAGGTTTTTCTTTTGTAGAAGGAGAGCCAGCACTGGGTCTGGTGAGTCTAGTGTGCTCATTATAAGATATGTGTTCCCCAGTTACAGTGCAGCGTCGCTGCAGGGCCTTACGTGTTTTGGCCAGTAGTCCCAGTTTTGGAAAGGAAGGCAGCGAGCTATGACTCTGGTCTAATGGTTTATAAAGGGGTGATGAAAGCAGAGGCGTGCTGAGGCGGCGCAGGGAAAAATAAGACTTTGGAGGCTCCTTTTGTTCACAGGAAGTTTGATTTGAAAATGCCAGAGAGCCAAATTCACCCTCTGAAGTAGCAGCGCTGCTAAAAGTGGACGGGTACTCCAGCACTTCTTCATCCAGCTCATCAAACTGCTGCTTGGATGCTGATGCTGTTGCTGCTGCTGAGGGAGAAGGTGAGGTCTGAGCAAAGGACACAGGTTCAGCAGGAGCTGGTGCTGATGTCGCAGGAGCTTTGTCTTTCACTCGAGAAACTTTACTTTTCCACAAGCACAGAAAGCATCCCAGGACCAAACACAGACAAAAGGTGATCAGCCCAACCAGAAGAAGAATCTGGAGATGAACTGTAGAAGCAACAAGAGATAATAAGGTCAGGTGGCAGAAGTAATTCACCTCAGTCAACTCTGGGATTACATAATGCAGTTAATGTAGTATTTGGGCCAATGTGCTGGAAAATATTAGCATATTACTAAATGACTGGTTCAAATTTTGTCAGAGCTTTCTTAAAATATACACATAAAAACTGAACAATATATTAATAAATATGCCATTCCTAATATGATTGGGTAGCCAAGTTTACAGCCCTTAATTTGTGGAGATATGCATCACTAAAGTAGGTTTCTAAATGAGTAAAAATGATGTAATTATCAAAGAGATTTAGCAACACAAAATGTATCAAAAACACAAACACTGGAAAGAAACATTTGATGTTATTCTAGCTTTGCTTTATCTATGAAAACAACAGAATCACATCTGTTATGGACCAGGAAGCTCTTTCATCAGCATGTATATGGTAATAGCATGTGGCGATGTGGTTATTGTTTTGGACTCGGATACCGTACCTTCTAACTGTTTGGAGAACAGGACCTGAACCAGAAGCCAGAAGAACAGAATGACCATGATGCCCTCGATCATGCCCTTGCAGCAGAAAAGCAGCACAGACTGCCACAGAGGCTGACCGGGGTACTCCTCATCATGATAAGGCATGGTGCCAGCAGTAGAGCCTACTAAGAAATCCACAAGCAGATGCCCAAATGTCCAAGTAAAGAAGATCTTTTGCTCGACTGATAAAAACACATTTCGATTTTTAGTCCAAAACAAAGCCAAACAACGTTATTTTAGACTATCAAGTAAAGGAAAAAAAGGCACAAAAACATTTGCACTTGCCTTCATAAAAACATTACTGTAAATTTAAAATAAATAAATAACTGGTTTAATTTAAAGTTTCTACTCTCCACCTGTAGATCTATTTCTCGGTTGGGAGTCAGAAAATCATCCTTCTGTCCAAACTCTCTGCATATCGTATATTCCAGCCTGCATCCCTGGATAGTGATAACCTCATTTGCAAAGTGACTTACACACTATTATTCCTGCCTGGTGGGTGGGGACCGTGGGCGGAGAGAGCCGTCATAATACCTCCGCAACATCTTTCCTCTTCAGTGTTCCAGATGCAAATCCAGCATTTTCACTATAGCGTAACTATCCTAACCAGTAAATCCTGTAACCCTCCCCCCAACACACACACACACACACACACACATCACCACCACCACCACCACGCTCCTTTGACCCATGAATTTGTTTTTTTTATTATTTTTTATTTATTACTGTCATGATAGGTCTGCTACAGAGTTAAGCAAGTAAAGCTCACTCTGTAGGTTCTTTTCCATATTCACAATGGGATGTGTAGATTTTTACACATCACAGTAAGCTTAGGTTTTTTTTCTTTATGTCTCTATGACAGAGGCCAAACTGCAGGGACTGAAAAAAGTAATTAAATTTACACTTACATTTGTTTTTTTCCCCCTCTTGCTACACAGTTCGGGTTCCAAGTTAAAGACATCAGAAACAGCTTGGCATACTGACAGATGTGCATCTTTGCTTGTTCACAACACCCCTAAACATGGATTAGTGTATGTGTGTCATGTGTAGGCGAGGAAATACTACCCCCATCTGGCCAAGCAAGAACTTATTCTTGAATTTTTGGATCCAACTTTCCAGTGATGGAAAGGAGCTGCTGTTCAGATATTTTAATTAAATAAAGGCAGCTGTATTACACAATAATAATGAGCCAGTTGAGATATCCAGAGTAAAAGTACAAAACTGGCCCCTGTGCACGGCACGCCATCGCCAATTCTAACATACAAGGGTCTTTTTACAGATCAGCTGGTGATGTTAAATGTTGTTTGGCTTTCTGATGATGGCATGGATGTTTCCAGTGGACTCATTACCTGATTGATAGTATGCACATGTGAGAGGAGGAATCCCTAATTGGCTGAATCTTATTCAGTGTGTATATCTGTGCAAATGTGCATGAACACTGCTCCTTTGTACCTGACAAAAGTCACACAGACTGAAACTGAATAACAAATTATGGTAAGTGGGACAGTGTGCAGCGGTTACATTATATATATTTCCAACATAATTTGAAAACTGATTATATGCCAGCCATCTGCAGGCTGCCCCTCCCTGAGCCTGGTTCTACTTGAGGTTTCTTCTTAGTAAAAGAGAATTTTTCTTTCCAACCACCACAAAGTGCTTGTTCATTCAATTCTATTTATATAGTGCAAAATTACAACAACAGCTGTCTCAAGGCGCTTTTGATTTTACAGTAAAGACTCTTTAACAGAGGGTCATAGAGCTCCCATATGAGGGTCCCAACCTAACTTAAGAGGAACATTGGCCTTCAAGGGGAGGGGAGCTATGACAACCTGGATAAGAAAAATAAGGATTACTGTATTTTGAATTTTGAATCATGTAAAGCTATAGAATAATAACAATAACAATAAGTCTACAAATGTGTTCCCACTAAACAATAACAACTTACCGTTTAGGTGTGTACAATGAGCAATATTAAGTTTTATTTATATTATTAATATTAAGTTGATATAGTGAAGCTGTTAGCAGACAGATTGTTTGCATGTCCAACAATTAGAAAGCAACATTATTTTTAGTTTGTGTTTCTGTTTTTGGCTTCCATCGAGGATACGTCGCACTCTTAAGCTGGTAATTGCTCCACTGTTCTCATCGGCTACTCACAATCGCATCTGCCTGCTGTGTGCTGGTGAGCAGGTAGCGTGCTGCAGATTTTAAGAGCTTTTAGAGAGACGGATTAGCTGTCTGTTGTGCAAAACACCCCAAACAAAAAACAAACTATATGAGAGGGATGAGAACTAAAATAAGTGGGGTCTGAAAGCTACAAGATGAGCTGAAACTCAGCGAAAAGACTTGAAATGCATTGTGATCAACATTTCTTTTCAAACATTTACAAAACTACATGCTATCTGAAATCAGAGACTAGCCTCTACGTCAAAAGTCTGAAGACATATTCGAAGTGCAAAGAAAGAAAACGGTATTTTTACAGCACAGAAGATTTATTTTATTCCTCATCCCTACATTTACAGGAAACATGTTAATCCAACAGAGCTGAAAGCCAACCCTTTTTTAAAAAAAAAAATTTTCCCCAGTGGCATTTGTTTGCGATCATGTGTGTACGTGATTGTCCATTTACAGTTTATTTCAACAAATGAACACATGCGGCATTAAGCACTGCATATTTCTCTGAGGACTGAGGTAGCACCGTTTCAGTGTTCACGTTGAGGTCATTAATGATACATTCTCTGCATTTACACTAATATAAAACAGCAACATGACAAGACATACATATAAGATAACAGTGAGTCCAGAGGATATTCCTGAGTCCAGAAGAAAGTAGCCTGAGAAACTTGCCACCATGGGAAGTCAACTGAGGTAAATGTGTCACTTTCCCAGCAGAAACATCGCCTCTGAGTTACTTGAAATAAATGTTCTGTCATTTTGAGGCCTCGCCAAATTAATAAATAACAATAAAGCAAAAATGAATAAACATCTTCCCTGAAATTCTTTAGGAGTTGCGATATTTCTGTGGAAACTGATGCCCTACATTTTCCATGAAAGCAGTTACACAAAGTAAAAACTTTTGCTCAAGGTAAACTGAAAGCTTACCAAGAGGAATACAAAATGGCTTCAAGCAGCTATGACACTGAACTAAGGCTTTTTGGTCTTCACTAGCTGCTCTTTGGCAAGCACACTGTTGTACTGATGGAAAAGGCAGCTACGGAACAGCTTTCACACCTACAAACGTAGCTGACGTTCAAAGAGTTGCAGCAATTATTTTGCATTAACGATACTTCCGGACAAACCTGCAGCCCTTCATACCAGAAAGCTACCATGTTTGAAAAGTCTTCTTCTAACAGGCACTAAGGTAAACTGAAACTATATTAAAATAAGCTTGAGGACAGAGGTCAAAAATGTTGACATTACACTATTAAAGTAATAGAAGGTTTCCTGTGTTGTGGCAGAGAATCCGTGGAGTTCATCCAGTTCTTGTCTGACAAGAGAAGTGAATGGTGTGGTGCACTGTGTAATCATTATGCTTCGGACAGATTAAAAAGCCAGTGATTTTAATTTGGTCCCTTTGAGGAGGTGGGAGATGAGGCGGTGGAACTTTGTGCGGAGGAAAAAGCGCTGAAACCACTTGTTCCTGCTGGAGTTACATTCTGTGACGACACAGAAGCAGCCGACTTCTGGGCAAACAGTTTTCCTAAAGAAGACAACGGCATTAATGACTGTGTCAGTTACAAAGAACTCACTGTGCAAAGGGCAATTGAAAAAGAAAGTTTTTACAGGAGTCTAAAAAAAAAAAAACAGAGTCCACCTCGTGATTCAGTAGCTTGTAGAACAACCTCCAGCAGTAATAAGTTCAAGTGTCTCACATCGTTATTTATTGCAGGTATTCATTTATGCACAACTCTCCTAAGGTCCTGCCACAGTGGGTGGAGGTCTGGACTTTGACTGGACCATTGCGACACCTTGATTCTTTTGTTTTTCAGCCACGCTGTTTGCCGTTTGCTGCTGTGCTTGAGGTCATTGTCCTGTTACATGGCCTACTTTCAGCCAAGCTTTAGCTCACAGACAAACGGCTTCATATTTGTTGAGACTTCTAATTGTCCTGTGATGATGTAACTGAGGCATGTAGAGTCTGAGATGTGGCATGCGGATTTCTTGCCTTTTCTTTGAGTATTACACAGCCTGAACTGCATGAAAAGACTGTCGTTTTTGTATCAACTAGGTGTTTTATTCACAAAGAACAGCAACAAAAATTGGTCTCTGCCTTGTCTGTGTTTGTAACTTCTTCCGATGTGGAATATGTTGATATCATGACTATAGAAGTCAGGGTTGTTTGCTAGTACACAGTGAAAACTAAGATTTTTAGGAATTCTGACATGATTTTAATAAAAGGCCTTAACTGGTAAATTTCTACCGTTGGCATCTGAATCTGTTCGTTGATCTCTAGATCAAGACTTCCTGTTCTGCATGTGAGTCATTGTCTATTAAAGTAGATCCATTTTTAAAAGAAAAATAAACGCTAAATTGTAGTCAAACAACAGCCGTTTGTGTTGCAGTTCAGCAAACACAATCCCTCTTTTGCTCTTGACAAAGGCCATTTACCCTCATGCAACCAAAGACATGAAATGTTATTGGTCAGTGGAACTGGTACTACAAGTGCAGTACACATACTGCTTATTTCTTTCACTGTAGATATTAATTAACTTAGTTCATCACCACGTGCGCTTGTTCCTCTACATTAGTGTCACGCACCAAAGAAAACACGCTTCCTTTACAGGTTTCATAACTCACCTGAGTAAACAGTGCCGTTGACCTCCACAGACACGCTGATACTGGCCGCTCCATTAGTGGAGAGATTCAGCGACAGATCGTGTTTGCTTTCTGTCAGAGGAAAAACAAAAATTCCAGTGAAGGGTCGGTTCCAGAATAAGCATGCTGTGATGTTCAGCCATGACAGAGGTCAAAGTAGAAGCAAACTCACCGTTGCCAAGTTTGAGGTTCATGGGGGTAAAGTGAGAGGCCATAGCCAGGAGGTTTTGTTGGAGTGCCTGCTGCATGAGGCGCTGCTGCTCCTCAGCGAGGCGCATCATTTTCTTCTCTGGGCTGTCAGCTACAGCTCCACCTGCTCCTTGCTCCAACCTCTCTCTCAGATGCTCAAATGTGGCAGCTTGTGCCAGCTGCTGCTGTTGCTGCCCCAGTGCCAGAGCCATGGGCAGCTGGGGTACAACAGGGGTGGGGGACTCATCTGATTGGAAACAAAGAAAAAGATGAAGAAATTATTATGTTCATAAGAAGTTTGAAAAAATTATATATTTATTATTCACGATTCATGATTACTGGAAAACAAAATTATTATCAGTGTGCTAAATTTGCATTGCAGGGCTTGCCTATGACCCAAACACTATAAAGAGGCTTAGATTGTATCTGTTGTAAAATATGATCATTTTAGAAAAGAAAACTATGCAGCGTACCTATGCTTCTCTTTAAATGCGGACTAGCGGAGGTATTGCGGCCATTGTGCGCGGTCGGAGCGCTCTGCATATTGGGTGAAGACAGGAGTGCATGTGGAGCAGAGCCTGGGGAGGGGGAGTAGCGGTACAGACTACTGGTGTAGCTGGGACGCCGGCCTTCTCTGCGGTTGCTATCGATGGCCGCCTGTAGCTCACCCGGAGAGCTCAGGCCTTTCTTCTCGCACTCAAAAGGATACAGATACTTCATATACCTGCAGAGGCAAGTTTCACGGGTTTTCCATCCATTTTCCACAAAAACATTTTTAATTATTTGCAAATATGAAGGATAAAGCAGATGGTTCCCTTTTCAAGTCTTTATCTACAAAATGCTAAGACCTATTAATTGTATGGTTCTTTAGGGAGCAGTTACTGGAAGTCCACATTTTTGCCAACAAATGAGCTAAAACATGGAGATTCTAGCAAAAGTGTGGTTGTTCCTGTGGTAGTAATGTTGGTTAGCCACCCAGTCCACATCTTAATGAATGCTGGGTGAACTGGTATTATATTCTGCGGAGATATCCACGGGATAAATCCCTCTGTTTGCTTAAATACCACCTTAACAACAAAGCTCCTGTTTTTCTGTGAAATGCTTCAACAGCTACATGATTTATTGCCATGAATGCAATTTTCAGCCTCCCCCCCCCACTACTTTTCTTTCTAGCCGACTGCCTGCAAAAGCCTCCTGTGAAGACCTACAAAGCCACAAGCATAAGGCTCTGCAGACTGTTATCTTTTAAAATTACAGACTTTGCAAACCATAAAAATACATATCTAGATCGGCTAGTCAGAAACAAAGTGAGCAAAGGTTTCATTTACGCAAATTATAGTTATGTTCTTGCAGCATTATGGTGTTCAGAGAATGATTACATTTCATCATTTTTTAAAATAACAGAGTCACAAATATGTGCTAGCTCTTGAAAATATATTCAGCATTTTTGGAGTAATTTATAGTCTAACCAATACAATCATTTAGCAAGCCGATTGTTGATCAAAAAAAATCTGCCAAAACACCTGAGAGAAACCTACTGGGTGCGTAAGGTGAAGGCCGCACTGGTGATTGATGTGGGGAGACTGAGGCCTTTGGTGATCTCCCTCCATATCTTCTTGTTAATAACCTCCACCAGGCCTCCTTTCTCTGTCACAAGCTTGTAAAGCTTGTACAAGTCCAGCACCTGTTTTGCCATGATGGGGATGCGATTCACAGGAGTTCCTGGATAAATAACAGAATGCATTGAAATGTAGCGCTTTCCATTGTTTTGCAACTCTGAAAAGTTGTCGCTAAACAAGAACGGGTCTTGTGAACAACATGAGGCAGAAGCAGAGTGTGAACTGCACACCTGAGGGCCTTAGGTCAGAGTTAGATAATGTGGCTTAGCATGTTTAATCTGCGCGGATAGAGTTGTCAAATGAAGCTAGTGTCAGATGTGAGGCGGTGGGGGTGGGGATAATTCCAGCAGCAGCTTTGTTGATGCATTGATCTAAGTGCAAGGAGAGGGGCTATGTTAGAGTCAACAGCGCCAGCAGGTCACAGTGACTAAACTGACCCTTCCAGTCCCGATTGGGAGAAAAGCCAATTAATGAAGCCGGCTAAAAAGCAGTTGTAGAAATCAGATTACTTTGTGCTTAAGATGAACACAGACACACGTGCACATTTTGCATGGCAATGACCTTGCCCCACATAAGTGAAGATTAGTGAACATGTTGCACTTCTTCTTGGATTTGTATCCACAAACAACAAATCCTAATCTTGGGATTTGTGGAAACAAATCCCAATCTGTATGAAAGTCTTTAACCAAGTGGCAAAATCCAGGGATGAAGATGCAGAAGTGCTGAAAAAGAGACTCAACCCATCTAGACTCTTATGGTAAAAAGCAGAAATAGGCAGGATTACAACCTCAGTCAGGGTTTCCACAGTTAACTTCCCCATGTATGATAACAGTACCTGCTTAGATTCTCTGATTCTATTAGAGCTAAAATGTTGACTGGCTGTATTTGTGGTCTTGGTCGCTTTCAGAGCATTTTCAGTATAATGTCTTACGCTACAGTTACTTACATTAACAAAATGTCCAGGTGGTCTGTGCTCCTGTTTTTGGTGAGTTTAATTGTAAGAGTTAATCTCTATATTAATGGTACTTACCTTAGTTAGCTGATAGTCAGTTTTAAGACACAACTTTGCACCCAAAACTGCCGTGTCCAAATATCGACAATGTAAAAAAATGAAAGGTTTTGAACCTTACCTCGTTTCTGCATAAAGACAAAGAGTTCGTCGAGAAACTCCTTCCGTTGTGGGTCATTATCCAGTTCATAAAGCTAGAGGACAACACACACACAGGAAACAGGGCAATAAACTGTTAGTCTGTAGTTTCTTCAGTTATTTGACATGTTTACTTCTACCACATATACGAACCTTGGCAAAGTCCCGAGATGGTTCTCCTCTTATTTTAACGCCGTCAGTCTCCTCGGCCCACATGGCACTTCCTCTCTGTTCACACAATAACAGAAAGACACATTAAGAAAATCATTTCCAACTAGCTGCTGCAGGGTAAAAGTCGTTATTCTGCTTAAAGAGCACTAAATTCTATAGTGACATAATAATAAAAACAGGTCATTAATTCAAACACTGGTGTTGCTGTTTTTCTAAGTGAGATACTTGGAGTACTCCCAAGTACACCATCAGACTGTCCTCTGGTAAACACACGATTACTGTAAATATCTGACTGGGCCATGACAAATACAATGGAGATCAATTAAATGAGCCGTGCTGAACTGGAAGATTAATGTGACATGTTATTCTTCCACCACCTCATCAACGTAGCAAAGGTTGCAAATGTGAGTGGAGGGCAGCCTGAGTGCAGCTGAGTGGAAAGGCCTGCTGAGCTGGTTATCCCACTAATATGCACCGAGTGTAGCATGGTAGTGCAAGTAAGTAAAACCCTTTAATGTGACATTAATTATGTTTTTTTTCCTCCCTGAAGAAACTACAAATTCATTTCTATATGCAGCTTATGAAAAGCCATCGCAGCCTTGCCTTCTGTCAGTTCTTGCGGGTGTGTGCCTTTTGGTTCGCGCTTGTGTTTTATATTAACATGTTTTATATTAAAACAAGGAGGAGTCGTTTAGACAACAAAACATCAAAACATGTTTTTGTATTTAACCGCATCAAAAACCTTCCATTCTTATGCTAGTGATTAATCAAAATAACAGGCTTGTTTTGTCTTTTTCACATTTAGCCTTTTACTTGATATTTTGTGTTTAACTGTATCATTTTGCCTTTATAAACACATACCTATTCACTGAATGTTTGGTATGGTAATAATGTCAGCCTGGAGTCTAAAAGCCATAACAGATAAGCCTTTGTTTCTCTGATTAGCCAGTTGAGAAGCGATTATCATTTGGCTTTCGCTCCAGCTGTAACCGTCCTTGTGTTTACAGTAAAAACAGAAAGACAAACTGCAGATACCAACGCATATCAACAGCAGGCTCAAAGTGAACCGCAGTGGTTCTCTTTGACGTCAGCTCCACAGCATCACTAACGTTTATTACAACCAACTTAAAACTGGACTTTCATTTCACTACTAATAACTGTAAGACTAAACACTGTCACATTAGTCTTGTACACAGTTTAATAGCGTCAGTTGTTTGTATTCTATTGAAACTTTGATTTGACCACAAACCCATTACTTTTATTGAGCTTACCAGCTTTTATATGCACACGAGGCATCACCTTTTCCAACTTTTATCCATTAACTAGTCATCAAAACATTGCAGCCAGCTCTTTCAACCACCTATCCATTACTTTTAGCTAATCATTTCCATCCTTTAAATATTATACCAACCTCCTTGACAGTAAATCTATTACATACAACATTTTAAATATTGAGCAATTCTAAGTATTAGCAGCACTTTCACAAAGCATGTCCCTCAAATTTCCACTCTGACCCTCATCTTGGTAGGAAATCACTGTAACAAACTCTTATAAAAACCAGCTTGTGCTCTGGTAACTATTTCCAGTTTCTTGCGGGTAAACTGGTCAAACTCGTCCCAGAGGTTACCAAGCTGTTGACACATCCAACAGATTGGCCTTAGAATTTCTAATCAAGGACTTTTACGCCTTCAGCAGAAACACTATTGAAGGTCTTTTCAGCATCAAATCGAAATAAAAACCCTCCCCCCTTCCTTATTGATGAGCAAGTGAGACCTACTGTGGATCTGTTAACAAAGAGCTTTCAGTTAATTGCTCACAGAGCTTTCACACATCCCGGCCTGGGAGTCCTGATAGTATTCAGTATGTAGGTCAGGAAAAAAGGGCTTCTTTTGTTTTGTTAAAGAGGCGAGTTTTATTTATGTGATTTTTTTTTCAATATATTTAAATTCAATTAAATTTAAATGCGTATTACTTCAAAGTAAAAGTCTGTCTTGTCAACCAGTCGTGACCGAAATCAAGGCTGACATTAAAATAGTGAAATGTTAATACTAACCGACTGCCCCCTATAATGAGCTTCATTAAAATCATTCAGTTTCTCCAACAGGGCAAAAGTGAAAACTCACCCCTCTCCAAATCTCAATGCAGCGACAGGGAGTCCAACATTTTTTTTTTAGCCAAATCAAATTATTGGCCCTTTAATCCCCCCAGGAAGTCAAGATCATTTATCTGGCTCCTCGCTGTGCTGCAAGCTTGAATGAACAGGGGCTCTTTATCCCCACCCAAGCTACATTTAAAGGCTTACAGTGAGACTGCACATAAGGAGCAAACAATGGCTGTCCGGCGTGATGAGGCTTGAAACGCATGTCAAGATTTTCAAAGATATTTCGGTAATGAATTGAACTAAAGAAAAAGAAGATAAAGACGCCGTAGAGCACGGCACAATCGTAAGGTGAAAAGAGTAGCTATTTCAACCAGCCACCGATTAACTTGCAAAAGAGCCACTTCAAGCTTGTGGACTTGTTAACATGGTTGTTGGATAAGAAAGCTTAATAGGCAACCAGTAAACACAAGCTCCACTTTGAGTTTCAGCTGCAAAAACCCCCAAAACAAAACAAAAAACCCACAAAAAACACAAACAAACAAAGCAAACACTTATTTCTTACACAAAGAGAAGAAGAATTCTAGCTCAGTGTGGTTACTCATATTTACAACCCTGTTAAGAATCAATAATACTGCCAACAAAAATGAAAACCAGACTAAAAGACTTTTCATCAAGTAAATCCCAATATAATTAAATATGACAAAGAATACTTTCTGCAGTTAATTTGACAACTTACAAAGATCCTCACAGATCTGAGTCACAGCAAAGGCCTTGCACAAATTCGTTCTAATTTTAGTCTCGGGCTGTGAGATGTTTCTGACTTTTCAGCAAAAACAAAAACAGAAAGCAAACCATTTAACAGACACACACTTAAGCCTTTCCACCACAGTCTCTCACAACTCTCATTACTGCGCTTAAACTAAAACAAAATGTTCTTTATTGCTGCAGGCTTGGCTTGCTGGCCTGTGAAAAGGAAACACATTGTCACTGCAGTGGCCGTATAATGTATTGATTATTTTCAGTGAAATTAAGCTGCCATTTAGTGTTGCCCAGCGACACCTCAGTTATGCAAAGCCATCTGCAAGACTACAGTAACATCTGGGCCTGGATGTTTGTACTTCCACATTTGACTTAAACCAAAAATCAGACAAAGAGGAAGAAAAAAAAAAAACTCTGAATAATGTGTAAAACTCTGGGTAATGGTATCAAAAGGACCATTCTTCTCCTGTGAAACAACTGCAAGTAAATTTTATGGTTAGCAGTTTGCATGGTGAGCCACAACCCAGCTGTCCCTGCACCTACAGCCCTCATTAATCAGTGCATTATATTGACGTGGCTGCCCTTTTTCACGTAGAGACGAACCAATCAGCTTGCTCCCCAAAAGAAGGGGAAAAGACAACAGCTGGACTCTGGACTCATACAGTTGCAATTTAAATTCAATCCATGGCTACATTTAAAGAAAATCTGACCGATCTGCTCTCATTTCAAGTCTACCTTCTTAGCCCTGAAGTGGACTTTGTAGTTAGCACTGGTACACAGCCATGATCATTTAGCTCAGCCAGTGGCCAGAAGATGTTTTCAAACGTCTGAGCCACAAGCTGATGTATGGCAGAGAAAAATCTCTGGCCTGGAAAGTAATTAAGATGTGCATCTGGCCAAAAAAAGCGCACCTTACTTCCCATCAGGAGGGAAACCAGGCAGGAGTGAGGAAGGTCAACAATTAAGGCAGAACATACGTATACACACAAAATAACAATTACAGATGTGCATTTTCTCTCTTTCAGGGAGCAGTCCATTACAATCTTACCCGTTTCACGGACTCATCAAAGCCCCAGTCAGCAAAGCCATTCGCTGACGTGAAGGCATGATGACCTGCCGGTGACGTCAGATTCTTTTCCATGTGCTCTTGTTTTTTTCCTGAAGGTGGAGATTCAGACGTTTGCTTCACAGCCACTGATGGAGATGTAGAATAAGGCTGGAAGGGAAAATGCGATACATGCTGGAGTCGGGGCTTCTTCGCCTGTTGATGAGAATTGTTCTCCTCCTCCTCTTCCTCGCCCATGTCTTCCTCCTCATTGTTCTCCTGAGAGGTCAACATCTCCTGTTCCTCATCTTCTGAGTTTCCATCCTCCTCTGCCTCTGGATCCACTCCGCTCAGATGATTATTCAAGGCCTGCTGGAGTGCTGGATTGCTCTGTCCATCTACTCTTTCAAACAATGTAGTGTCTGGTCTTGAAAACGAGGCTCTTGCTGCGGCAGCTTGTTGAGCAAACAGGAGCTGAGCGTGAAGAAGCTGCTTCTCCTGCAGGCTCATCTCCAGCTTTGCTTCTTGTTGCTTCTGCAGATGCTCCATCACCACCTCCAGCTTCACGCCGACTGGACAGGACTGTGAACACCCAGCTGAACTTCCAACCTCTGATAGGTTGGACTGAGGAGAAAAACACAAATCACTAATGGCAGAACTTTAATGAGAAATTTTAATATCTTAAAAAAAAACAAGATAAAAAACTGCGTATGATGCGATTAACATGTTTTAATACCCAGCAGCAATTAGATGGCCTACTCCAGAACAATAAACATGGTCAAAAATGCTTGCAGAGGCAAATTAAACATAATTAAATACCAGATATTAATCATGTTTTTTTTTTTCCTTCAAGTTAAGGTAGACTACTTTTGGTAATCGGGAAGAGTGGACATCAGAGAGCTCATTAAAGGGCGATAAAGTTGAATAAACAGTTGAATAAACAAACACAAAAAGCGTAAATTTCTATTAAAACACATTTTTACATGGGGCCAAATATCTCTCTCATTTATAAGTTCAATAGTCGCAATTTGCTTAAGGGTCCTCGGAGTAGGTTATTTCACAACGGGTTTCGTCGTTTTTATTGGACACATGGATGAAATTTAACTTCACATAAAGCTCACTTTAGTGCTTCAAACTTGTTGCCCTCGCGGGGAATGACAGGGGGAGCTTTAAAAAGCGTAAATTATCACAGTAAAGTCCACTTTTGTCCCATTTTGCTTTGTTACTGTAACGAACACGAGTGGGTGAGCTACGAAAGAGTCGTCGATAGGCTTACTCACCATTTGCGCCTTTGAGTAATTCATCATCGCCAACAGGTCTCGTGAAGTTCTTGCTTTTTTCCTTCGCCAGAAGTTAATCGCATCTCATGACCACTTTCTCCTTTTTTTTAAAGTAGAGAAACACAAAACAAAAACCCCTTCTGTCGATCAAATGTGGTTTAAAGCCCCTCGCTGTGTGAAGGCTGGAGTAATGGGAGCTGGAGGAGGGGTAAATACTGCTGTGCTTCACCTCCCTGCGGTCACTCGCGGAGCACACAAACTAAAATATCTTCGATTGTCTGCGAGTGAGTGGCGCACACCCCCAACTTGGATGAATGGAAAGCCCGCCCCGTGCGCAAAGATCGTAAAGTGCTTTATCGCTTCCAGCTATGTGTATCTTCCCACCCACTTCTCAAGGAAATCCCACCCCAAAGCAGAATCCATTGCTGATTCTTACAAAGGTGATGTGACCTTTACCGTAGAAATAAATCAATTAGATAAAACAACACGTCAAACTAGTGAAGCCGTCGTTCCTTTTTTAATAGTGTTTGCATTAGGGCCGAATTAAATCATTTTGGGAGAACCTCATGACAAAGCGTGAAACGCAAAGTGTGTGTTTTTAGTCTGATCAGATATCTCCAGTGAATTCTTCCTGTACTCAGTGCACCACTATCATGTAAACACTCACTTCTGTTTCCAGGGCCAATAACAGGGTTGTTTCAGTAGGCTGGCACATGAACAGATCAAGAACCAGTCTGTGGGTCCAATTCTATCAGAAGTAAATGCAAAACCAGCCACTTGGAAACTGGTTGAAAAATATAATTGTGTACAGACCTCCTGCCTTCACAACCCGTGAGCCCATAAGCCCATCTGTAATTGGTCGAGAAAGCAGCAGATAGATTACTAACAAGCACATCACCCCTATTCTACCTTCTCTTTATTGGCTTCCAGTCAAATTAACAAATCATCTTAAAATGGTATTAATTACATATAAACTTACATGGACAGCCTGCTGCATATATATTAGAGCTACTGAGACCTTATATCTGCCACCGACCTCTCTGATTTTCTGATCAGGGTCTCTTGAGGTTGTAGCTCCTAAATGTTGGAACAGCCTTTCTCCTGTTGGATGTCCTTGTTGGACTTTCTAGCAAAGTGAAAGTTCGTATTCAATATTCAATGAAATTTTATTTATATGACACAAATCACAGTAACAGTAAACTCAAGTTGTCTCTACAACAGTACAGAGAAAACACCGACAATCAGACAGCCCACTATGAGCAAGCACTTGGCAAAAGTGGGAAGGAAAATCTCCCTCTTAACAGGAAGAAACCTCAGCAGAATTAAGTTCAAGGAGGGTCAGCCATCTGCCACAACTGGCAGTGGGTGAGGGGAGGGAGACAGGACAGAAGACACACTGTGGGAGAGGGAGCAAGAGATTAAGAATACTAATGATTAAATACAGAGTGGTGTATAAATACAGAGAGTGAAAAGAGATGAGCATATATATATATATATATATATATATATTTCAATTGGAACAAAAGAAGCATGAGAAAAAACCCACTACTTTCTTGATCAAGACAAGAGTAAAAGAAAGAAATACCTCTCAAAGTAAACGAGGATGACCTCCTGACCTCTCCCTCGGGAGATGCTTTATGTTACTGAGGTAACCCATCCAGTCACTAATCCAATGTTTTAGTGGCAAGTGAGGCAGTGGGGCAATTTTGCACAGCTTACATACATCAGGCTCACCATGCAACAAATAATGCACGGCTTAAAGGTGTTTAATGGCTAGTCTGTGCTTGTTGTTTGTCAGTCTGTTCACAAACATTTCTTAACCAGATAAGCTGTCAGTCCAGTGTGGCAGTATTGCAAAAACAAAGATGTGTGCATTTGCTTTCTTCAGTGATATTTCCTGGTCTGTAAGAGACGCTCTGACTCTGTTGTACATGGAAACCATCTGTCTTTTTATGGTGTGGTTTTGGGGAATAATTCCATTGTTTTTAACCAGTGGTGTTTGGTAGGGCAAAAATAACGTCCTTTGTTTTATGTTCACATTTAGAAAGTACAGGAGCTAGGGAGCAATAAGATGTGTATAAAAGCACTGAAATATTAAGAGCTATTATTCCCAGTGAATCATATCCTTTTTCTCCCGTTGGCGGGGCATTAAAAAGGGCCATTCAAATTTGAGATAGCAGTGCCACCCCTGTCCCCAGCTGGTGCCACACCCGTGCTTTTTTCCAATAACCATTCAACACATTTATTTATGAAGGAACTCTGAAGTAACTAAACTCTTCAAGCAGTGCCAGCAGGAGAAATGTCTCCTTTCTATAGTTGCCTGCTAAGAAAAGCTAACTATAACTGTAATCTCGGCGCCTTGGTGAACATTTGATGCTCTGCTATTCTGAGCAGCAAAATACTACATGTGATTACTCTGCTTGCTCGGGGGAATCAGTGTCTATAGTTTCTCCCACCAGTCTAAATAAAGCTATTGGCTGATGCTGTTGACGTGAGCAGAACTCTTAGATTCAGCCATCGAATAAAGCTTTTGTAGACCTGTAGGTAATCACAAGCCAGACCAACTAAAATATATATATATATATATTTTTTAATTAATTTATTTTTTTAAATTTTAAACCCAGCAAGAGAAATCAAAATTAAAATGCTCTGCAGGATGTTTTGTGGTATTTAGATCACGGACAATAATAACTAGCCCATTGTGGCACAGAATAGATAACCCCCATTTCCTGCACCTCTAAAAATATTCTAGTAGGCTACCAACAAGATAATAATATCAAGTGTCTTAGCTTCTCAGAAACAAGTTCATACAAATAAAAATAATAAGCAGCTGAAGATCTATTAAAGGGGTTTTAATTTTATACTAGATACTTTTAAGGTTTTAGTTTTACCGGTGTAGAAAGCACAGAAATGATCCTGTACTCATTTTAAAATGTCCAATTCCATTACACAAAAGTATCACTTCAAACCAAGCTTCCTTAAAATATACCTAAAAAAAACAACAGTCTAGAAGCCTAAAGAACAAGTCATTTCTTAATGCGACGCTACTGCACTAAATTTTTTAGGCATATTTGGAACTAAAAAGCTAAATTTTTGCACTGAAATAGTTTTGCCAACATTGACTTTTAGTTCATACATCTAAAGACACATTTCCAAATGATGAGTCATATTTTTAAAATCTATGGAGGAACTGCTTAATACTCAAAGTCATGTTTTTTTCTTTGGGCAGACTACACAAACTGAGTAATTTTAATATGACAATTATACTCGCAATACAAAATGTAACTTAGAAAAATGTCAATTCTTAAAAAGATATTTATCAGGAAAAATACATTTTACTTCAGACATCTGCTCATAATAATATCACACCATTTTTCCTTTGAACAAGTTTATTTTACCCGCACATAAATTTTCCCTGAAATAAAAAAGAAAAGAAAACAGATATAGATTGAGTACAGTAGAATGATTTTACATTCATATAGAAATGCTGCTCCCTGGTGGTAAAATGTGAATCTTACAAGACACACACTCGGACAACATGTACCATTTGGTGACACTTTGTTCTCTATTAAAGCAACGTGTAATGAAATATTGCTCCAACAATTACTCAGACTATTGAAAAATATTCCATATCCTCAAACATACAGTTTCCTTTATTATGTTCAACAATATTTTACAAGCAACAGAACTTAATAAAGGCCAAATTAAATATCGCACCCGTTTTATGAGGCAAACATTGAAGTAAAAGGGTTTTGAGTCCAGGGTATGTTTTTTGATCTGAAACAAACAAACATATATAGACATCTGTTAAACAGCCATCTTATAACACACATGGAAGAGAATAAACATGACTGAATAGATGGTTTTACTACCTGCTCTGCTAAATTTTGTCAATGCCGAGCTCTTCAGGTGTAGAGATGCCAAGCTCATTTAAAGTAGGCCGCAGCTCCTGGATCACGTATGGGTAGATATCTTTATGGGGTCCGGCTTTGTCCTGAGGAAATAAACGATAAAACCCATTAATCACCATTATCTGACTACAAAGGTTCTGGCTGGCAATTTTCTCTCATGTGCCTTTTCTCTCACCTTCACAGCTTCCAAAATTCGGATAGCGCTGGCCAAGTCGTTTAACCTCCGACAGGCTTTCAGTGCAGCCTCGAGAATCTTTGGCTCAGGTACCAAATCGTACCCAATCAATGTGTTCATCCCTGAAACAACCAGTCACAACACATTTAAACCGAGATCAGAGAAAAAGACTTCTAAAGGATCTGAGCGCAAACAACAAATAAATAAAACAACTAACCATTCTCATCAAATTATTTTTGGTGTAGCTTGAAACAGTATTTTAAATCCCTCTTTACCAAAGCGCTCTATAAATGAAGCTAACACTTAATGGCCACATGCCCCTGTTTCAATTATTATCAGAGGAGTCTATTTTGAGCTGGTGCCATACACACCACCCTGCTGCCAAAATTACTTACTAATGGATCAAATTTGTATTAATCCAAGACTCAAAAACAAAAAAAGGTTTTATTTGCTTTTGTCACATTTGACAGATTTAATGGACAAAGGTAGGCTGTTATATTCGATAAATCAGCTGTGAAATAAACCTGCATACTGTAGACAAACCACTGTTGTCTAGTGCTTATTTATAAACTACACACAGCCTCTGTCAGTGTTTAGCAGCTGTTAACAATATAGATGAGTTTTGTCAGTCTATATAACTCTAAAACAATATCAGGGGTGAATATCTCATCAGGAAAACTGATTTTCTTATAATAAGCTCAGTTTTTACATTGTTATGATATGGGTTTTACAATAGGAAATGAATTGAAACAAATGCAAACAGATTCTGACCAACAGATTCAACCATTTTTGTTAACTATGCAAAGCAAACATGCAATTTTAAATCATTATATTGCAAACTATGAGTGTTTACTTAAATCTTAATCTCACTAAGCCTCTTAATGCAAAATTTTACAAGTCCAATTTTTTAATAATAACCTCTGTTGACTCAAGACAAACATATCTCAGCAATGAATAACAATTCCAGTTTCTCAATTCCAGTGATTACATTGACTCTGTCAGTCTGCCCCAGGGCAGCTGTGGCTACAACTG